ATAGGAATCATGAAAATTCAGGACAATATATTGTTGAATTTTCAATCATTTGAAAGTTTCTGGTTAAAAAAGTACTAAATATTCATGTTTAGATCGAAAATTCAAATAAGTTAGAGAATTTCTATCTTGCGACTGCTCAAAAATTTGAAATTCCATTGAATTTTTTCTGAAATCTGAAATTTAATTATTCAAGATGTTCACGTACGATAAAATTCTATAGGATTGTCTATATGAAAAAACCTATAGAAAAACCTATAGGAAACGGTGGGATTGTTTCGTATGTGTTTTCACCGGTGTAACTGAAAATTCAGTGTCATTTGGTGCTGCATATTCACGTTTAATAATTTTCACCATGTATTATTATTATTATTATTTTTTTTTTTTCGAAACAAACAAACGGCGAGGTTATGTCTTTGCCGGTATCTCTTGAACGACATTCTCCCAAAATCCGTAAAATGACGCCATTTTGATTGTCCAATTGATCGGTGTCCAATATCGCACTAAAATCCACCCTGCATCACTCTCTATGTTTTATTCTCCATCGACCGCCATGGGGATTGGATCGTAATTATGAGGAGGGTTTCGTTCGAAGAGGTCACTAAGTAGTAGTCTCCCTGGACACATGATACCGCCACAGTTTTGAAGTAATACCCAAAAAGACCGTTCTTGGCGCCACTCGCGCCCCCGACCCGTCATAAAGTTTCAAGCACACAAAGAGTCACGGGGTGGGCAAACGATAGTAATGTTTGAATTTTGGGTGGGAGTGACCTCTTCGAACGAAACCGTCCTCATAATTACGATCGGGCCAATTATGAGTCGTGTTTCGTTCTCGAGATCACTAAGTAGATGTTTAGAGTTAATTAACATCATTGGACTTCATCCCTTATCTCCATGGTGATTCCGACATGATAACAATAAGATTTTTACCAAAAATCAAACCATTTGCACTGTTTATTTATTTTCCATTACAAAAGAATATAATGTATTGCAATTTTTTTTAACTGTCATTACTACTACATCAGTGTTTAATCATATTCTAATACATTGAACAAATCTTCAAATTGCAGTTTACCTCTCATTAATTCTTAATACTGCCTTTGTAAAATTGCTTCGATTAGGAACGATTATAAAATCTATCAAATACACGAGAAGCCTCTGACCATCCCGCCAATTTCTTAATCAGACTGTACTCAATGCCTTGCTTGCGAGCTGCAGACGTCGCTGCATGGCGGACACTGTGGGGAGCGAATGCCCCTAATCCACAATCACGCAAGAAACATCTAATCCATCTACTAATCGTGTTCTTTGATGCTGGACCAAAGGGCTTCTTCATCGTAATAAATAACAAGCCCACATTATTACGCAAACTTGTAGTAACTCTCAAATATTCTTCCAATGTTGTAATCACACAAAGTTGGGCACAACTCCTAAATCTAGGTAGCGTTAATAAACGCTGAGGCTCTCCAAGCCTCGGAGTTTTAATTCTCTGAGGTATCATTATTTCATAAACATCCTGAAGCTTACGGATTTGACTAATCTTGAAAAAGATGGTTTGATTTCTATGGGCTGTTACCAAGGATAATTACATTGCCAACTTAGATGTTAACTGACTCAAATTCAGTTCTGTCATGTCTCTAAGTTTCTTAATCACTGGATCCAGATCATAAATCTCCTCGTATCTAGGTTTGGCCAGTCTAAACAGTCTAACATTATAAATACCTTTCAATAATCGACATACCAAAGCACTCTTCCTAATATAACCTCTACAAATAAACGACAATACAGAACGATAAGTATTCATTGAAGTATACGACAAACCCTTTTCAAACTGGAGAATGAGTCACTCAACAACCTGTCCTTCCTTGGGTTTAACAATATCAATTCCTTTCTGATCACAAAAAATAGCCCATTCGCGTAAGGGCTTTACATATTGCTTGAGTGTAGTATCTGCAATGGAGTTCAACAGCAAATCTACGGCCCTCGGATTCAAATTCTTTCTTTGGTAGGTCTCACGAATAATTTGGCGGCCATCAATCTCATTTTTCTCGCCAGAGCGTGACTCTCTTGCCTAGAGGGAGAAAGTAATAAATTATCGTCAGGTTCAAAGTAAATAGGTTCACTATGCAAAAAAGATAACCACAAGGGGTACCAAGGTTGAGACTCCCAGACTGGTACAACCACAACCCCCCAGACCGGGTCAACGACAATTTTCCTCAACACTTTCCGGATTAGGGCAAAGGGTGGAAAGGCGTAGAAAGGAGATGGTCACGAGATCGTGAACGCATCGATTGAAATGGCCTGTGGATCACGATGCTACGAGCAATACCTCACGTACTTTGCATTCGTTGCCGAAGTAAATAAGTCAATTTGTAGGTTCCCAAATTTCTTAACGTTATTCTTGAAGGCCTAGTCTACCAACTCCCATTCAGTATCCACATTCTCCGCCCTAGATGCCTGATCAGCTTCGACATTTTCCCTAGATGGAATATATGATGCGAACAACCATAGCCCTTTGGTTTCACACCACTGCCAGATTTCGCGAGATATCGTGTTAAGATTCAAGTATTTAACACCGCCCATCCGGTTAATATAAGCAATCGCAGTTGTGTTATCTATTTTCAGCAAGATTTCGGAATTCGAATCATTAGATGCAAATGCTAGAAGTCCATTGAACGCTGCTAATAACTCCAAGTAGTTTATATGATATTCCAGCTCTGAAGTACTCGTATTTCCAAACACCACCTGATTGTTACATAAGCCCCCAAAACAGTACGTGAGGCGTTAGAAAAAATAGTTTTGCTGAATTTCATCTGTCTAATAAAATTTCTAGCTCTAGGAATCGTCCTCTTCCACCAATCCAAATCTGGGATTACCCTCGGATTTAATTCCATCAGAGCCTCATAATTATTGCCTGAATTTAGTAACGCGAGACATCTTTCCCGTTCTAAACGTTTCGAATAACACCATCCGTATTGAACCGCAAACTGCATTAATTGTCCCCAAACAAACAAATTCGAATAAACGATCTTCCCAAGAGAATCTGAGAAATTTCCTGTGAGAGTCTTGAATTGAAATTAGAAAATAAGCATCTTGCAATTTGATAGTCCCCATCGAACAGTCCTTAGACATAAGTTTCATCGCAGTCCTTATGTCCTCCATTTTATAATGATCCACCCGAATAAATTTCTTCAGTTCTTTTAAAATCAACACAAATCTCATTTTGCCATTGCTTTTAGGAATTAAAAAATAATTAGATAGAAATTGATCGACCACTGGATGACATTCCCGAATCGTCCCCAGTAAGATTAGATTGTCAATCGACGCCTGAACTAACTCAACCTCTCCCGGAACAATCAAATTTCTTGGCAACTGAGATTGCACTGGCATCGCTGTAAAAGGGATTTCATAATCACTGACAATATTTAACACAAAAGGATCTGCCGTAATACCCGACCAAGCCTGGGCGAATTGTTCCAAACGTCCAGCGATGATACCTACTGGAATTACTTGGGCTCTACTGGTGCAGGGGGTTGACTCTTCTGACGTCCGGGAGGAGTTTTCTTCTCGTATGACCTCGATGGGTTGGGGAACCTCATGAACGACAGTCTCCTGGTGCCCGTCTGCGATGAGCTCGGGGAATTCACAGACGGGCGTTTCCAGTTTAAAACCCTTGGCTTAAGAGGGGCTCTCCCTGACTTGAGAACCTTCAGAGTTGAGCCCATTTTCTCAGCTGCTTGCATGCCCTTGGTTTTCTTGGTCAAGTCAGACCCAAACAGAAACTCATCAGAACTTGCCTCCTGCAGTAAAGTCTTGTATTTCTCCTCCACAGTAGTATAAATATGAGCTTTACTCGTCTTCGAATGCTCGAACATGAGCTGGCACATGTATTGACTTGAGTCACATAAATACTCGATTAACTTTTCCCTGTCAATACTTTCCTCTGGGTCCTCGTGAAAGATTGAGGTTAATGCAGAACCCAGAGAAATTAAAGCAAGATCACACAGATCCTGATGCTCAGCCAAATATTTATCCCTGGATTTAATCGTCCTGTTCAGAAAACTTGCGCCCTCGGGGTTCAACTGTGGGGTTTTGAGTCGATAATTTCCTCGACGTGGATAACTCTCGAGGAGTTCTTTCTTCAAGGGTTTCGTAAGACCTTCTGTTAATACCTGATTCCAACAATTGACCATTTCTCCATTTAACTCAAACAACTCTTCGTTCCTCTTAGTTCATAGACCTGGTCTACATTTTTAACTTCCGCCTCTGCAGTCTCCTGGACTGGCATAGAAAGTTCTGTCCCATCAGATTCCTGCTCTGCAAAACGAGAGGAAAAAACAACATATACCTAGATCATTTTTCTATCGTAATGACGTTGAACAAAATGACTCTAGAACATTGTACGGTTTTTACCGCCATATTGTGGAACTTACTAGACCAGCCATCATGGCTGCTTTTGTCTGATATCCCGGCACTCAATGCCTCTTCCACCAATTTTTGATATTTGGCCACTTTGCTTTGCAAGGCAGCCATTTTCTCATCCGAGAGAGTTTTGCGTTTCGGCATAATTAAGCCAAAACAGGTCAAGACAACTATGAAAAAATACTCTTGTTCAATTAAAAGCAACCAAACACGAGCGAACGTGACGTACTCGACGTGCACAGAGAACGTTATGACGGGTAGGGATGCGCGATACGGTCCGATATATCGAAAGGTCCGATATTTGATATCGATATATCGATATTTTTCAGCCGATATTTTCGCGGGCCGATATATCGATTCCCGATTTTTTTCCGCAAATATCGTTAAACAAATTACAATAGGAGATTGTTTTTTGAAAGATTTTTCAATTTTCTAAATTGATGGTTATTGAATTTTCAGTTTTCATGGTACATGTGATACGATCGGGAAAATATTATTTTAAAAAACGTGCGGGAATTTTGTTCAGCCGTTTGCAGAGCCATGCTTAATCAAGGGTGGTTACTGTGAGGTATCTCTACACATGAGCCGGTGTTGTCACACTCAACTGTTAAGGACGACCATATTTCGTTAAACATAATACAAAAAAAGATTGATTTTCAATAAGTGGATGATTGATCATTGATGTGAAGGTGAAAATGGATGACACTGAAGGTATGCTAGTTTTTTTTTATGAACCATGGAGTATTTACAAAATCCTAACCTAAATCTTGAATTTGTTTTTATTTTTTTCTGGAAGTGCTCAATATGTTTTAATGAGATCATTTCCCATAGATTGAGCTTAACCACATTATTTTTCCATTTTATAGATTCCGAGACATACACAATTTATTTGCGTATCAATGACGAGCCTTTCTTCGCCAAAACTGGACTATCAAAATTGAAATATCTCCAATTCAAGTGTGAGTAGTTTTTTGCTCAATTCGTAAACCCAGGAAAATAGGTGATTTGAATCAATTACAAATTTTTATTTGAAATTTCTTTCTCATTTCGACGAATTAGTTATTGAAAATGAATAAATTTGTTCATTTCAAATTCAAATGACGAATTTCTTTAAAATAAAAGAAATGCTCATTGATTAAAAATGAAGAATTTGTTTGGATAAAATGAACATTCAAGATAATAATAATAGAGAAGATCTATTCAGAGCGAATAATTCTTCCAATAATTTTTTTTGTACCTTAAAAAATATGCTATTCGGTAATGTTCAACTTAACTTTTTATTTGATTCATATGAATCATTTTTCTGCTATAATCAAACTTTTATGATTGAAGTGATTTTCCAAAGTTATTGTTTAATATTTGAAATGACAATTACAGGTGATGATGAGTGGACGTGGGACTTTATTCAATCGATCTATGGTCCAGGTGGGGTAAAGTGGAAGCCAACCAGAAAAACTATTGATTGTTTGTATCGATCAAGTGATAAAGTTGAGTTTACACCAGTCGAAAGACCAATACTAAGGCCATCTGGACCTTTACGTCATCATGACAGTTATTCTGACACGGACTCAGGGACACTTCACTGCAACTCCAACCCTCAATCTCCAGATGATGACGTAATGACCAAGGAAAATTCGCCTATAAAAAATAATAGGAGAAATACTAACGAAGCTGTGTCAACTCCTCCCACTGAAGATTCTGCAATGAACAAAAAGTTATCGCTTGAAGACAATTCATCGAGGACAAAGAAAAGTTCCATATGCGTTTATTTTGAAAATAAGGATGCTACACATGCCATCTGCACCATTTGCCACACACGTGTAAAACATTCTGGAGGAACATCCAATTTACAGGCCCATTTGGACCGAAAGCATCAATTGCTATGTGTAGGAACTAGAAAAAGGAAAAATACTGCATCGGAGTCCAGTGGTGAATCGACAAATGGTGATGAACCACAAGTAAAGAATAAGAAATTCATGTCAAAGAATAGATTGCCGCGAATTGATGAAGCCTTTGAAAAGATAAATTCTTTCGCTAAGGGCGGAGCAAAGGCCGACCAAATCACGAATGCGTTGATATACATGATTGCTAAAGACAAAGAGCCTCTGAACATAGTTAACAAGAAAGGTTTCCAGAATTTGATGAAAGTTATTGCTCCTCACTACACATTACCGTCTCGAAAGACTAACCAAATTAGTGACGACTCGATATACCAAGATGAAAGAATCGTACAGCTCAAATCTACAGAAGGCTGTATCTTACACTCTAACATGCGACAATTGGACTGACTGCACTTTCCAGAGCTACTTAGGTGTCAGCATTCACTACTTGTCTGAAGATCTTCAGATGAAGAATGGAATTTTGGGAGTCTTTCCACTCGACAAAAATTATACCGCAGTATATCTCAAGGACTCTCTTACGTCTGTGATAACTGATTTCGGTTTGGATAAATCAAAAATCATGGCAATCACCAGCGATGAAGCATCGAATATAAGAGCTGCTACAGAGAGTTTGGTCGGCACAGAGAGACAGATCTGGTGTTTCGCACATTTTATATCACATATGGTACCTGAAATATTGAATGAGATGACAGAACTCACTAAAATGATTGATATTGCTCGAGAAATTATTAAAATTATTAGGAGAAGTGTTGTAGCCTGCGACGAGTTGAAAAAATTACAAGTTGCCGATGGGAAAACTGAGGGAACTACGCTCAAATTCCTGCTTGATGTTCCTACAAGATGGAACTCCGAATTTTATATGTTAGAGAGGTTCTTTCAGCTAGAAGAGTACATCCCTGGGATCATGAGAAAATGCAGGAAAACAAAATTCCCAGATCTGCTCAGCTGTGACCAACTCGAAGTTCTTAGTGAGATTGTGGACCTCATGAGGCCAGTGGAAATGGTCATCAGAGAGATCAGTGGCAGTGAATATGCCACTGCTAGTGTCATCATCCCAATTATTGATGGCCATGGAGCCTGGCAAGGACGCAGCAATTAATTTCAAAACCAAATTGATTGACAAAATCAACGAACAATTCGCTGGCGTTGAAAAGCATAAAATACTGGCCGTTTCCACCATCCTCGATCCCAGATTCAAAAGACTTCACTTCGAGAATGTCCGTTATGCCGCAAACGCTTGCACTCACATTGACAGAGAAATCAAATCTTTGGGCGTGAAAGTAATTGAAGAGAGGAAGTTAATTCAACAAAAGCGTGCGGATCCCTGTAGAATGAGTCTTTGGAAAGCTCATGACGATTTAGTAGCGAAAGCTGTTGATGAGAATGCTGATGACGAAACTCTAGTCTCTGAATTGAGACAATATTTGAAAAAAACCCCAATTCCTCGCCATGAAGATCCATTTAAATATTGGAAATCACTTCAGCATTCATTCCCAACACTGTACGAATTGGCCATTCGATACGTTAGTATCATCAATACTTCTGTACCATCAGAAAGGATCTTTTCAGAAGCTGGTCACACTAAGACATTAGACAGAAATCGACTTACTGGTGAGCATCTGAAAGAACTCGTATTTCTTGGGGCTCTTCCAGACGAAGAGTGGAGCTTGGAATGAGGCTTCTCATAAATGTTGATATTTCTTTATATTTTTGTTATTTATCGTTTGGATTCTATTTGTGATACTTGTTTATACTTATGGAGCTAGTCTCGTGTTCTTTCTATGTTCATTCTATGTTTATATGAGGTTAATTGATTTGTGTTGTCAGAACCCACTTAAAATTGTATGCATTCATGTTATATGAATACATGATGATTTGATATTTCTCGACAATTAATACAGTTTGATTCTGGTAACTGGGAATGTTTGGTTTTTATTTAATTGAAAGTGTAAGTAGATCCAGGTAGAACTTTTAGCTTATAATTGGGTGTGAGCATGAATTTAATGATTAGAAGTACGTAACTCTAATAAAGATTAATTAACCATATTTATTTCAACAGGAGTTGGCAATCCATTAGGAGTAATCGTACGACATGCTCTGATCATTTGACTGCGAAGCCAAAATCCATGTGGAGCGGTGAAATATACAAAAATGAGTTGTTGTTTACGATGTTTATTGTGAGATTATCTTAATGAATGGATAGTTACAAGAAATGTTAAACGGGAATCAATTCTTAAAACTTGAATAATGAATGAAAAGCATCGGTTGGGTCAATACTTTCATTGTTTTCAAAGTTTTTCATGTCTTCTGGTTTAATCCTCATCCTACTGATTTCACCATTTTGTCCAATCTCTCCCAAAATTGGAGAAAAAGGCCGAATTTTGGATTTCTTAAAATTCTTCGAGAAAAAACGATATCGATATATCGGTTCGTCAATTTTTTTTTCTGAAAATCGATATTACAAAATCAATTTTTTTCAGTTATATCGATTTCAACGATATCGATTTTTTTTTTATATCGTGCATCCCTAATGACGGGTCGGTGGCGCGAGTGGCGCCAAAAACGGTCTTTTTGGGAATTACTTCAAAACTGTAGCGGTATTACATGTCCAGGGGGACTACTACTTAGTGATCTCGAGAACGGTACACGACTCATAATTGCTTTTTTCATGACATTTCCCATTAACTTGCAACGAGGAATAATTTGAGAGGTAAGTAAATAATTATTTAATTCAAATTCAATCAAAATAATTTAAATAGAAAAATTGAATTGCAGTGATTCTTTGTTTAAATATTATCTATAAAACATTTCCAAATTGTGTGACTCTTGATATATCATGGCATTGTTTGATTTTTCATCGTAAATGCTGGCAGGAACGTGGGTTATGACATTACGAGGATGGTCAAATACAACAGAAATCCGAGGAATGAAATAAGCCACTTTCCTTCCATCATTTGAGGAAAAAAATCGAACTTTCCGTGCAGATATGACAACGATGAAGTGGAAGCTAGCCGACAATTCGGTAGCTGAAGATGTAAAAGCAGTGGTTCTCAGACCTGACTGAGTTTTAGTCCTTAAAAAAATGTTTAGGGGGTTTATAAGGGGTGACAAAACTTGACAAAACTGAGATCTGTTAGAATTCCAAAGATTAATAAATTTCAACTAACCATTTATTTATAATTGTTATGTCAAAGTTAGGTAAAGAAATTATAAAAATTGAATTTAACCCTGACATAAACTGAATCCCTGATGATGAATCGAATCAAAGAGAAAAGAAAATTATTGACTACTAGAAATTCCCGGTAAACTTGAAAAATTATTAATTAAAAAGGAAGAGAAAAAAAAAACTATTCACTCACCGCCAAGAATAAATAAACAAAGGAATATTTTCAAGGAAGAGAAAAGGTTTTAAAAATGAAAAGAATTTAGTTTTTACTAAAATGATTCTTACGAATCTGTATTTTAGAAATGAGTTCAAAATTTGATGGAAATTACATTTTTTTTAAGAACTTACAGTAACTGCAAACACTGCTAATCCAAATTGGTTAAAATGACGCACACACTAAATCCACTCTAACAATTTGCTTCTTCACACAAACTGATTTTACAATTAAACAAATTTAAGCAAAACTAAAAGTATAATTCGAAAGAAACACTTTAAAACAAAATTTTAATTTTAAATGAATAAAAGTCCAAAAGACTTATAAAAGAATCATACAAGATTCTGGACAAAAGAATCAAAGATTCTTCAAAGAAATCGCCCAATGGGTCGATATTAAAATTCCACTTTGGGAATTGTAAAGGAACTAACTAGACACCCCGAAATGCAGATAGTTTTATCAACTACACTAAGGGTGTGCCCTTGCACTCATTTGGAGGGAAGACTCAAGGGACCAATTAC